TACCTTTTGCTTTTGTCATCTAACTTGGGCTACTTTTGATCTGGTACATGAGCATATGCAATGCTCCCAAATACTCGTAGGTGAGAGATGCTGGGCTTTCTTCCACTCCATGCTTCTTGTGGTGTTTTATTCCACACACTTCTAGAAGGTGATCAATTAGACAAATACACAACACAATTACAGCTTCGGCCTAAAGTTCTTTGGGCAATCTCTTTTGATCATGCAACGGGACATGTTAAGAATGGATCTATTCTTTCTTTCGACTACTCCATTTTGTTGTGGAAAGTATGAAACTGTCAATAGATTGATTCTTAACAATATTTCTCAAACTCTCTGGTGGTGAATTCTCCTTCTCTATCTGATCTTATGGCTTTTATGCTATAGCCACTTTCTTTTTCAATAAGAGCTTTAAACCTTTTGAAATTTCTAAAAACTTTCGATTTTTGTTTGAGAAGATAGACTCAAGCCTTTCTACTAAAATCATCAATAAAAAGAACAAAATCATTGCTCTTACCAAGAGAGTTTGGATTGATTGGCCCACAAACATCCAAGTATACAAGTTCTAGCGGTTTCTTAGCTCTTGTAGATGCTTTTTTTGGAAAACTTTTCCTCAAATGCTTTCCAAGTAAGCATCCTTCACATTATTGATCCGCATGATTTATTAGAGGCAAACCTTTCACCGTCTTCTTCTTACTCAACAACTTTAAACCTCCAAAATTAAGATGCCCAAATCTCAAGTGCCAAAACCAAGATGAATCTTTAAAACAAGCATTTAAGCATTTAGCAACATCATTTTGAATGCGTAACGTAAACATTCTATTTCTTGTCATAGGGACTTTGGCAATCAAATTTTGTCTTTGATCTCTTATTGAAAGACTATGATCTTTCAAATGAATATCATAGCCCTTCTCTAAGAGTTGTTCCAAATTTAAAATGTTATTCTTCATATTGGGCACGTAATAGACATTTGAGATAAGTTAATGCGTATGATTTTTCAAGCGGATCAAGATTTTAGCTTTTCCTTTCACTGGGATCTTGAATTCATCTCCAAAGGTAATGTTTTCGCTTACAGATTCATCAAACTCCACAAACATGTTTTTTCTCCTCCACATATGGTTGCTTGCTCCTGTATCCAATTACCAAGTGTTCTTTTATCTGCTCTCTTCACCTTTGTAAGCCAACAGTAGTGCAGGATCCACTTCACTTTCCCAACAAGCGTAGTTGGCTTTCTCCTCAACTTGGTTAGTAATATTTCTACATTCTGAGGCATAATGACCAAGTTTTTGACAATTTTAACATTTAATTTGAGGTTTGCCATACCTTGGCCCTTCATTTTGCCTCATGTCTTTTCCTCTTCCACGATCTCTGGTGGAAAATGAGTTTTGTCTTCTTTCCTCCTTGTAGAATGCACTTCTTCCTCGATCTTGGCCTCGTCATCTCCCTCTTTGTCTTTTTCTACTGTCGAACCTTCATTCATCCTCGTTCAAAGTGAGCTTTGTTTGAAGAGCTTGCTCTAATTGCTCTTCTTTTACCTTTTTCTTTAGTCTTTCCTCATGGGCTTGTAAAAATTTCATGAGTTGATTGATACTCATACTATCTAGATCTTTAGATTCCTCAATGACTACAATTATGTAGTCAAATTTAGAATCTAAAGACCTAAGTATCTTCTCAATTACTCGAGTGTTATTCAACTTTTCTCTATTCCTCTTTAATTGATTCACAATAGCCAATACTTTAGAGAAGTAATCAGAAATTGATTCCGATCTTTCATATGTAAAGCTTCAAACTCACCTCGAAGTATTTGGAGTCGAACCTTTTTCACCTTCTCAACTCCTTTGTGGGAGTTTTGCAAAATCTCCCATGCTTCCTTACTTGTAGTAGCACAAACTACTTTCTCGAACATGTCTTCATCTAAGGCTTGATAGATGAGGGTGAGCATCTTATTGTCATCCTTCCTTACATCCTTCAAACTATCCCTTTTGTGTTTGGGATAGAGAGACCTTGTCTTGTGGCTTCATGTAGCCTTTCTCTACGATCTTCCATGCATCTTGCGACTCGAGCAACACTTTCATTCTTATGCTCCAATTGTCGTAGTTATCCTTGTTGAGTTAGGGAACTTGAAAATGAATTATCTCGCTTGCCATTTTTCACAAGAACCTTAGGGCTCTGATATTAGTTTGTTGGAAGAAAGAGGGGTTTACTAACTTGGATTGATTAAGGCTTTTAAGGAGGACAACACTAATAGGAAGAAGGATGTGAACAAAAGGAAACTTGTATTTCTCAACTTCAAGATTTACACACTTTTTTGGCTTATTACAAAATGAAGGACATTACCCCTTTATATAGTGTTTACATGAAACTTCTAGTCCACACATTTTTCTAGAGAATCCTAGATCACATATTTACATAAGATTTTTAGACTACACATTGGACAAGATATTTTCCTAAAATATTCTAGATAGACTTTATAAGACCGCATATTCTTCTTGAAACATTACCACATTTATCACCACATATTTTACTTAGATATTTATATGAATTTTTCTAGCAGATATTTATATAGATTTTTTTATATAATTTTTTTAGAAATGCTAGGCATGTTAGCTTTTTAATTGACTTGGGGCCTACGGACAAAGTCCTTAAATCCATATTATTTACTCCAAAAATCAAATTTGCTACTCAATAGTGTTTGGCCGAGTGGAACAGAAACTGACCAAATTAGAAGATCGAATGATTATGCTAGAAAATACTATATTCGGAGGATGTGGAAGCTGAGCTTATCAATTACAGTAAACTCCATAAAGAGTAGGTACAGTGGGGAGAAGTTTTATGGTGTCAAAAGGCAAGGATAAAGTGGCTATAAGAGGGTGATGCCAACACTATATTTTTTTTAAGGCATGTGTCAGGGGTAAAGCCGCCAAGAAATATGTTTAAAGTATGATTTTAGATGATCACACTTGTATCAGCAGATACTACCCATTCCGAATCTGTACACTTCTTCCAAAATTTGCTTACGGTCTCCCCGATCACGAGAGATTCTGAAGTTCTCAATATTATCCAGCCACGTATTGGAGAAGCAGAGAATAAAATGCTTTGTCGATTACCCACCATGGAGGAGGTTCAACAAGCACTATGGTCGATCCTTATGGAGAGGTGTCCCGGGCTGGAAGATTATACAACGAGTTTTTTCAAATTTGCATGGGATGTGGTGAAGATGGATTTGTTGGATATGGCATTAGAATTCTTCAAAGGAATACCGCTAACTACTTGGCTTGGACCGACAAATCTGGTCTTGATCCCGAATGTGGATAACCCTGAAAGTTTTGAAAATTTCGCCCCATCAGTTTATGTTCAGTCCCCTACAAGATCCTATCTAAAATATTGGTCAAGCATTTGACTCCACTGCTTGGGTTTATTATCTCCCAGGAACAAAAGCTTTTATAACTAGTACAAGCATTTTTTAAAATGTGGCCGTTGCTCAAAAAATGGCATCATCAATGAAAAATCTCTTTTGTTAGTTGCGGAGCTCTGCGATCTAAACTACCTGTTGACAGTAGTATCCAAGCAGTGGGTGTCAAGTTGGCATCTAGATATAATTGTTGTATAGACCAATCCTATGAAACGGTCGACCATGTGTCAATTATGGGTGACCTGGCTAAGGAGGTGTGGAGATATTTTGTAGGGGCTTGCACTATTCCGTTCTCGGAGGCTAGTTGCCGGCAAGGAAAAATGGCATCATGGTGGATAAAAGCATCACATAATACACAGGTGGGGGTTTTACGTGGAATCATCCCTTTCCTTGTCACTTGGCACTTGTGGAGAGCCAGATGTGCAGCTCAAATGGATTAGGCTACTATCTCTTCAAGATGTGTTACTGGGCAGTTCAAGGCGATGGTGATCACAATTGCGAGCTCCCTTAAAATGTTTCGTCAAATAAAAATGTATGACAATGAAATTCTTGAAATATTAGGTGTTCCAATAGCTCCTATCTCTATGGCAGCACCCCAGCTGGTTAGTTGGAAGAGACCAGGAAGTGGTAAAGTGAAGTTGAACGTTGAACGTTGATGGAGGCTCAAATGGAAATCCAGGTACCTCCGGTGGAAGCGATCTGATTCGGGATAGTAGAGGTAAACTGATTTCCGATTTTGCTCATTACCATGGCGTGGCAACCAACACCTTTGCCGAATCATGTGCTCTTAGGGACAGGTTAGCTATGTGCAAAGAACGGGGATGGGAGGATTTTGTGGTGGAGTCAGATTCTACGCTAATGGTTAAATGGGCACATGAAGGAAAATGCATTTTATGGGACTTGTGGAAAGATATTTATGCCTTGATTGAAACCATCCGTGCCAAGATATTAAGCATCTACAGGGAAGGTAATATGTCAGCAAATTACTTGGCAAAAATGGGAGTTACTGGTAACTCTTTCACCATGTAAGGAGCTAATGTTCCGATTGGACTTAGAGGAATTTTAAGAATTGATTCATGAAGTCTTTCGAATATGGCAAGAGGTGAAATTTGTGAATGGAAAAAATGGCTTTGGTCTCCGTTGGTGCCCAAGAAAAATCTCTTTTGTTAGTTGCGGAGCTCTGCGATCTAAACTACCTGTTGACAGTAGTATCCAAGCAGTGGGTGTCAAGTTGGCATCTAGATATAATTGTTGTATAGACCAATCCTATGAAACGGTCGACCATGTGTCAATTATGGGTGACCTGGCTAAGGAGGTGTGGAGATATTTTGTAGGGGCTTGCACTATTCCGTTCTCGGAGGCTAGTTGCCGGCAAGGAAAAATGGCATCATGGTGGATAAAAGCATCACATAATACACAGGTGGGGGTTTTACGTGGAATCATCCCTTTCCTTGTCACTTGGCACTTGTGGAGAGCCAGATGTGCAGCTCAAATGGATTAGGCTACTATCTCTTCAAGATGTGTTACTGGGCAGTTCAAGGCGATGGTGATCACAATTGCGAGCTCCCTTAAAATGTTTCGTCAAATAAAAATGTATGACAATGAAATTCTTGAAATATTAGGTGTTCCAATAGCTCCTATCTCTATGGCAGCACCCCAGCTGGTTAGTTGGAAGAGACCAGGAAGTGGTAAAGTGAAGTTGAACGTTGAACGTTGATGGAGGCTCAAATGGAAATCCAGGTACCTCCGGTGGAAGCGATCTGATTCGGGATAGTAGAGGTAAACTGATTTCCGATTTTGCTCATTACCATGGCGTGGCAACCAACACCTTTGCCGAATCATGTGCTCTTAGGGACAGGTTAGCTATGTGCAAAGAACGGGGATGGGAGGATTTTGTGGTGGAGTCAGATTCTACGCTAATGGTTAAATGGGCACATGAAGGAAAATGCATTTTATGGGACTTGTGGAAAGATATTTATGCCTTGATTGAAACCATCCGTGCCAAGATATTAAGCATCTACAGGGAAGGTAATATGTCAGCAAATTACTTGGCAAAAATGGGAGTTACTGGTAACTCTTTCACCATGTAAGGAGCTAATGTTCCGATTGGACTTAGAGGAATTTTAAGAATTGATTCATGAAGTCTTTCGAATATTAGATGCAAATGATTTATTCCTTTTTATGTACCACGTTATTCCTCCGCCATAAGTGAGGATTTTACATAATAAAAATAAGCTATTCGATTTAAAAAAAAAAAAAAAAAAAATTCTAACTAAATCTAACCCAAAAATGTTTGTAGAAAGTAAATTATCTAATAAAGTTTCGCAAGCTTTCCAATATATCTATATTTTCTTTCTACATTTTTCCTATATTTGCAGTTCATACAAACTATTTATTTTTCTTAATGTGTGTTACATATGAATGTTGAATCGTTAAAGGAAGAAGCAACAATTTCAAGTAATGTACTATTAAGGTTTCGTGCCATGTTTAGAAATGATAATTTGTCGTGTCAAACTCAAGCCCCGTAAATACTAGCCCCAAATTGGGCAAGTATGTCTTGCTTAGTCGAGGTGGCAAGGCAATTTCACGATTAGGGTTGTTTTATTAGAATCAAGTACAAAAGGATTTTATGATTTCATTTTCAGACTTACAAATAATTATGAGATTTTTAGAATTCCTTGAAATTATAATAGTTTAAATCGGCCTTTTTTCAGTAAATATGTATAAATAGAAAAGGTATATTTTTTTGCAAACTCTCCACTCACTAAAATACAATTTCATATATTTCGTCAGGATTTTTCTTATTAATTAGTAGCTCAATTAAGAAACTTTTGAAATCTATTAATTTACCGAGTCGAGTCACGTGATATAATCAATTGTATGACTCATTTTGTTAGATCATATAGCCTTTATTCTTTTGCGCACAGATATATCATGTTGGATAAGTCATTGTATTATATATTTTAGCTTTTGTTGGGATTGTTTTCTAAGATTGATTTTTTTCGAACTCAATTTTTAGCTACACGTTCTTTCAATTAAATAATTTTGCACGTAAATTCATATTTTTTTTCCTATTTCACTTATTTTGGCTTTTTTACCCCATATTGTAGGGTTTTTTAAACTCATATTTTTCAAAAAAAAATTATATTTCACAAAATATTCTAAAAAAAATATCTATCAAATGGTACTTAATCTAATATACTCGATGCATCTTTTGTAATTTTTGTTCATTTGGTGACTTTTTCTTATAAAGGATGTTAAAAGATTGATTTACCTGCACTTTGTTTTCATTAGTATGTATTTAAAAGGCTAAGTGGTCCCCAATTTGCATCACATGTGTATGTTTGAATGATGTTTTCAGGTTGTTTAGTTCATTTTACAGGAAACCCGGATTTATGGCCATTATTTTAAATAGTGATTTTTTAGAGAATGTGTGGCTAAAAAGTAAGAAAAAAATTTAAATCAATATGTAAAATATTTTATTGTATAAATATATGATTGAAAATGAGTATAAGAATTAAAAAATTTTGTTTTAAAAAGAATAAAATATCGGCTTTTCTTTGGAAAAAAATCATTATAATAATAACCAAGGTTCTAAAATATGTAATGCATGACAAGGTATTTCACTCGAGCACTAAGTATTATAAGAGTATGTGTGCTTATGCGAAGTATTTACGTAATTATGTGTTTTTCAATTTTTAATATTCTAAACTAATAAATAAATAAAATAATGCATTACAGACTATATATATGTTTTTCAAATGTTTAGGAAAAAATATTGTTTAAAATCATAAATACTACAATTACATAAACTTTATACATATTTTTCAATTTTTTAACAAAGTTATAATGCTCAAAATTATGAATATTACAATTACTTGATAATAAATTCCTACAATTAAAGCATGAACATTAACTTAAAAACCTAAACATTTTCTAACTCTTTATTGGATTCCAATTCAAACTCCTCTTCATCCAATATATCTTTCGCGTCATACGACGTAAAATTATATTCATCGGACTTCCTTATTTCAACTCGAGTCTTCTAGGTAAGTATCATTGTTAACCTCTTCCTCATCATCACAACCATCAACAATTCAATATTATTCATTACTAACATCACAATTAGGGAAAAAAATAATAATGATGATAATGAAGGAGGCTCGGACTCAACATAGATAGTTTGCAAATCTACGAAAAATTTGTTTTAGTTTTGATTTGTTTAAACTTCAAAAGCGTACAAATTGCTGTATATATAATTCATGGGCTGTGGTGATTTAGGTTAATTTGATATTTTTTGGCTCAATTTAATTTTTTAAGTTATAAAAATGGACTGGACTTTATTAAGCCCTTATTTGAGCCCCATTATTTAGAAAAAATGCATTTTTAATAGTATTTGACATTATTTCAACAACACATTTTTCAACGTAAATCCGAAACTTTTTCCTCTTTTTAAATCAGATATTTCTCATTTTTTCAACGTAAATCCGAAACTTTTTCCTCTTTTTAAATCAGATATTTCTCATCAATATACTATTGAAAAATTCATTTTTTCCCTCAAAATAGGGCTCAAACAAAGGCTAAACTAATTATGACACAATTTTTAACACAAATGAGTGCGCATTTTGGGGTTTAAGCATATACGGTCAATGAAATGGGTTGATCATATTATCACACACACACCATATGCGAGACTTTTCGAAAATGCATCGAACATATGCGAGTATATGCGAAACACATGAACACTGGTAATATCAGATCAATGTTAGCCTTCATGGTGAATCCAATACCATCTATAGTCAACGTGCATCACGATACAGGTCCATTGAAATGATCCAGGACAGCAATGTCAATAAACATATGCAAATCATAAAACGTAAACAGCAGACTACGAGAAATATTGCTAGATCAAATGATACATAACGGAACTGTTCAACTTTAGTTTCATATGAACCAAGTTCATGCATACATATTATAAAAATTCATCTAACTGGATTCTAAATTAATTCATCTACTAAGCTTAGCGACTACCAAAAAAAAGAAAGAAAGAATTCTACAAAGTAAACTACAAGCTTCCTAAATCCTCGAAAAAAAAATTTAAAAACATCCATGAGCACAAGCCGTACAAGGCGTAACTTTGTCATCACCTCCTCCAAAAGAGTTCCAAGTCAGCATAAACTCAACAGGCAGATCTTTCAAGTGTTTTTAAGTTTTATTACCTACACATCCTCTCTTTTTGTCCTGCTTGGCAATGCTGCCGCAACTTGGGCTACACATTGCTTTGCGATTAGCTAGACTGCAAGGAACGATTTTGAGAAAATTAGTAGCGCGTGAAACTAAACTGACTCTACGAAAACTGAATGAGACATGGTAGAACTAAAATTGTTTCCAACTTAAATTCAAATCAAACCGTTATCTACTACAACTCTCATCTTGTCTGAAGTCAACATATCTCACCCCAAAGGAATCCCTTATTGGGAAAAATAAGCTCCATGGACAGACACCACATGCACGAGAGCACTATCAAAAACTATACTGCCAGTAAACAAAGATGCTCTTAAAGCTCTTTAACTGTACCGTGAAAATTAGCAATAAGCAGCAGCAGAAGATACTATAAACGCCTGGAATAAAACAAAAAACATGAGAAATATTGCGAGCCAAATGGTTATTCAACTCTTCCATATCTGCAGGACGTTCGAATTTAGCTAAGGAAAATGAGCTGGACTGCCCAGTTCAAGTTCATATATATCACAGAAATCCATCTACATAAACAACATTAGAATTCTACAGATTAAAAATAGCACTAAGAATTATTACTACTACAACCCTTTCAAAATCCCCAAAATAGTTAACCTTATATGAGCAGAAGCCATTTTTAAGGATAGAAAAATAAGACGCAGGCCTTCACCTCCTTTCCAAATTATAGCTCAACTTCCAATTTCTATTACCTACACATTCTTTCTTGGTCTACCCCTCTTTTTAGCCCCCGTTGAAGCCGCCGGTCCTGGTGTTGTCGGCGTCACATTGGGCGGAGGCGGTGGCGGAACACTGGGCATGGGTGTACCACCATCCACCTGTGCACCACCCGACCCAAACATGGGTGGCATCCAATTGGGATACCCATTAACACCCCGCCTCTTGCTACCCTTAGAATTCCCCACCGCAAACCCCATTGGGAAGAACCCCCAACAGCAATAATAGGCCTCTTTTCCTGGCACCATAGGCGGCATCGACAAAATCTCAGCTCCAGTAAATGCCCTTTTACAATTCTGGCACCTGAAACAGCACCCATCATATAATCTGGGATACTCGTATAAATTATAACAGTAAGGACATGCCGTCCAATAAGTACCCGGCCCATTGCTTCCCAAACCACCACCAGTATCAGCATTACTACTATTGACGCCTTTTCTGTTGTTCGATCTGGTTCCACCACCACTTCCACCGTCACCCCTTGCGCTCCGTCGGACAGACAATTTCTGATGAAAATTCCCTTCATCCGGCTTCTTTTGCGGATGAAATTTCTGCCCATGTGGCTGCTGAGTGGGTTGTTTCTTCGTAGCCACCAGATCGACCTTCGTGAAAAGGGAGAACTCATTGTCGTACAAGGGTTTCTTGCCAGCATCAGAAAGAACGGCCCACGCATCAGCCACGAGCCCGAAAGCTGACTCGGAGAAGGCGAACCGATTTTTGTCCGGGTGGAGGAGGAGGGCGAGACGCCGGTACTGCTTCTTGATCAGCTCGGCATCGTCGGTACGGTGAGGGACTTGGAGAATGGAGTACCAGTCATGGTGGTTGTTGACACGTTTGTCGGCGGCCAAGAGGACATCGGCTACGGCTAAGATCTGTTCGGGTCCTTCCAAAAGCGGTTCGGTTTCCTGGGCTAAAATAGCGAAGTCTTTGGAGCCACCGAGGTCCTTGTTCCGGAGCAGCTTTTCGGAGATTCCGAGAAGGCGTTCGGCTTCGGCTCGGCTGGTGGTGGTGTGATGTTCCATTTTTCCGTCTGAATTTGGTGTCCTGAGAAAACGAGGGATATGCTAAGGCGAATTTGCTTAGAAAGTCTAATCAACGACTATTTTTTAGTAAAATAGTCGACACTCAATAATGTTAGATAAAATAACAATTAGCCTGTGTTTGATTGCATTTACTTTAAGCCCCTGTTTGATTAACATTAAATTACATTACATTTTTCTCTCTCCTATTTTCAACCATACAATCTTCTATAAAATAATATTACACGTAAATCGAAAACTTTAACTTCTTTTTCAACCACTCATTTTTCTAAAAAATACTATTCCCCCCATTACCATTTTCAGGTAATGGGGGCCAAACAGGGTGTAAATAAAAAATATTGGTCCGTTTAATTATAAAGGTGGAAAAGACAAATCAATTACATGTAAATTGAAAAAAAAAAAATCAACAAGACCATAAGAATTCAATTTCCATTGAATTGGCCAAAAACATATTATAAGTATATATACCTTGAAATTCGAACTCGATTTTCACTTTCGTATCAAACAGTTAAAGTAGAAAACGAATTTCTCAAATATAACATTTTCATAAAATTCGTTTCAATCAAATAGACCCTTAGTTATTCATCTAAATTTCTACTTGAAAGTGTTTGATTGCTAGTTTGTTTACATTAAAAATATTTTTCAACTTTTGAAAATATGTCTATTCTCCTTATTTTTAAGGAAAATATTTTATTTTGGGGGAGTAGATTTTTGTTTTTTTCAAAACAAAGAAAACATTTTCTTTTCTAAATGATATTTTTAATGATAATCAAACACACATTTTCTTTTCTATGGTGTATCTGATTGTGAATATTTTTTTATGAAAAATGTGTTTTTCCACCCAAATTTCTACTTTTGTATTATTTGATTGACATTTTTTCCATGAAAAATATTTTCCTACTTCTGGTCACTTGGCCATATTTTCTCAAAATTAAGGAAAATAATATTTTCTGTATCCGGAGTAAGATTTTATTTTACAGGAAATTCACTCTCTCTCGTTTATCTACACTCTTTCTTCTACCCACTAATAAAAGAAGTACAAGTGTAATATTTTTTTAAGTTAAAAATTAAATCAATCAAACACATTTATTTTAAAATTTCTATACAAATAAGTTTTAAGAAATTGATTGTCTAAAATTTATTTTTTTTCATGTAAATTTCATGCTTGTAATTAAATACATTCTTACTCTACTTTTAGTGGAAATTGGGTAAGACAGCCTTTCTCCAAACTTCCTTTGTGAAATTAGACGTTGACCAGAAGTATGTATGACGGTCCAATGCATATTCCAGCTCTAAGTCATTTTGAATTTGATTCCATGGCTATCAAAATCTTGATTTCGATTATGGTGGTGAACCAAAATCCAATTTATGGTTAAATTTGGAGATAGTCAACACTTGGAATGATGGATACCTATAAAGTTCTCTTTCATCCCTATATGTAGGCAATTAATTACTCCTAATTTTAATAAATCTTTTATATGCATTCTAAAGTCTTCCTGATCTTGATTTGTTGCTTCAATATTTTTTGTTTTTATTATATATTCTGGATTTTTAATTTTTAATTCACATAAAATTTTATCTTTTTCCCAATATTTTAATATATTTTCTCCTAAAATTTCTAATTTTTCTAATTTACTTATCATATTTTCTATATCTTGTTCTGTTACTAAAAGATTATAAATTTTTTCTATTTCTACAAATTCTAAGCATGATTCTTCATCTTCTTTAAAACTTTCATAATATTCTTCATATTCTTCTATAAAATTTTCAAATTCTTTTTTTTCTATTAATTGACATTCTCTTTCTTTACTACACTCACATTCTTTTTCTTTTATATATATATATATAGGTATCCCAACTTTCACCAGACTAAATTCTGGACTTTCAAGACCCATGCCCCTAGAACCTTGGAGGGAGTAAATCGCGAGATATGCCTCAATTGGATCACAGGTTCCCCCATTGACTGTACACTTCTGCGCACAAGAGACCCTTCTCCACAGTGATTGCTCCATAACAAATTTTTGGCCGCAGATTCCCACCAGAAATTGAACTCTCCACCCTGCCGCTGGAAGCAAGCCAATGTTGATTGATCCACCAATTGAGCTGTGCCCCGAGGGACGGTACCCAGTGATATCATTCATTAGAGTGATATGCTGTTGAGACTTTTCTTGAGAAAAAGATAAGGTGTTGTGTTTGATAATGTTGGGTAAAGATTATTACTTTCTAAACACAATCCATGTTTTAGATCAAAACTTGTTTGCATTGCTAGTTGGACTTCTGTTATTGTGTAAGCTGCATTCATCTCAAAAAATTACTTCAACATTTAGCTCAAATAGGTCACGAGAAATGATTATTTCAGGTGTTATTTTTCCAGTTTGGGTAATTTTTTTTAATTATTATTATTATTATTTTTTTTTTTTGTGATTTTACTTTAGTTAAATAACTTTCTTATATGATTTTTTTTTTCTCTTTGAAGTATATTTCACCATATCTCTATTTCACTAAAGTATTCCTTTCAGAAGTTTGATTATGTTTGGGAGATATTAGATGATGTTCATTGAAAAATATTGACGGAATCTTGTTTCGAACAACTATATTAAATGAAGTGTATACATTTTCACCCTAATCCAAAACGTCCATATCATTTTTTGCATTTTCACACCTATTTTCACATTTCATTGTGGAAAATATCATTTTCACTCATTTTTAACGTCAAATAATCAATATACCATTCTATTTAAATAAAAGAAAAGAAAAATAAGAACAAATTGCAATTTTACTCCTAAACTTTTTAAAAAGTGCAAATGAGTCAAATTAAATTATTAAAATATTAAAAATAACCAAAAAAAAAAAATCTTTTTCTCTTCTCTTCTTCTCCTCTCCCTCCCTTCGCCTCCTCCAACAAATGGGGCTGTCACTTTAAAAGTCAAAAAACTTCTGCCAACCACCAAACCAAATCGTCGAACGGAGTACCACAAAAAGGCCCCTACTCTCTCGACACATACCACCCAACATAAAACCTTTATGCCAACAGATCTAATCGAAAATTGCAAGCTAAAATATCCAACTCGCGAATGCAAATACTGGTGGCAGCACCTGCTTCGACAAGATCCATGTCTTCCCAACACACCAATCGACTATGCTCACCCGGACACCTCTCTTCATTGTCTTAAAGCAGCAACAGATGCACAACATCAAAATTTATAGCAATAGCTTTCAAATTTTTATTGGGTAATAATTGGCCTGAAATTCTAGGGCATATTAGAATGAAATTGATGGAAGCCCATTATTGTAGCAGGTGCGGAGTGATGTGGCGAAACGAGAATAGGTGGTCCGCAATGGTGGAAACCATTGTCGACTCCGAATTGACGAAAAAAGGCAGCGTGTTGCGCTAGCTATAAACTGTGTTTTTGGTTGATTTTTGGCCATATAAATTTGTTATTTGTTGAATTTGGTTTTATGGGAAAGTGTTTGGGGACTGATGGCAGCTGTTTTTTTTTTGTGTGAAATCCGATGTTTTAGGTGGTGATTAGGTTGTGGTCGGTGAAATGGGGGCAACAACTCCATGAATGTGAAGTTATTCTCAGTGGGGTTATTTGTAATTTTTTGAAAAATTTAGGAGTAAAATCGCAACTTGTTCTTTATTTTTCTTTTTGTTTTTTGTTTTATTTAATAGGAGCGTATATTGGTCATTTTTATGTTAAAAATTGGTGAAAACGATGTTTTCCCCCAATGAAAGGTGAAAATAGGGCTAAAAATGAAAGGTGGGGACGTTTTGTCCTAGTTACCATTTTCCAATTTTTGGTGGATGAAGGATAGATAACTGAGATGTTGAATTTGTTTATATAGTAGTGATTTTTATGATTTAGTTAGGAAAGCAGATGCATATATGCTAATTTTGTATAGTTGGTAGTGATGGTTGTGATTTTGATTGGGGAACAAGTGTATGGATGCTAATGTTTATTATTATTGTACAATGCTTTCTTCAAATGCTGAGATAGTTTAATTGAAACAGCATTGTGCAATTTTTATGATGGCTTGTATAGGCTTGAAAAAACATGTTGGTATAACGAAATTAGTAGAAACGACAGTCCTACGTTTAACACAACTATGTGCCATTTTGGGTCATGGGATCTCGATTTCACTTCGAAACTAGTTTAGAATATCATAGTTGAATAAGTAAGGAAAAGCTAAATGAATACGAAATTAGTAGAAACAATAGTCCAACGTTTAAAATAACCATGTGCCATTTTGGGTTACGAGGTCTCATTTCACTCCGAAACTAGTTTAGAACACCATAGAATACTTGTACACATTGAATGAGTAAGAAAAAGCAAATCAAACATGAGATTAGTAAAAATGACAATCCTACTTGAATTCCTAAGTTGTACATGTTGAACGAAATATTTTATGCTTTGTATGCCCTAGACCATAAACCATCAATCATAAACCTTAACCCCAAAACGACACTCATACGTTTAAAATTACTAGAAGCCATTTTGCGTCTCGGGATCTCATTTTCAATCCAAAATCAATTGATCATATCTTAGAGCATCTTAGAAGACTTAACAACTTAAATGTGCTAATTTGTAGAGTATCTTATTTCATAAGTGAAATTTAATAGAATTCGAGTTACTTATTTTCAAACATAGTATTGTTTACTCACAGAACAAAATTGTTAGTCACTATCTCGTGAACTTTTGTCTCCCTTGGTATCCAAATTGAATGAAAACCTGCAATCGTTCATTTACATTGCATACAAGTTAACTAAAGTGAAAAAAACACAAAAATAGTTGAAACGACACCCAATCATTTCAAACGACAACATGTCATTGTGGGTCCATAGGTCTCCATTTCATTCCAAAACTAGTCAATCATATTACGAAACATTTTAGAAGACTTGCACAAGTTTAATGATCTAACTTGTTAAGTACCATTTCTCATAATTGGATTATAACAAAATTTAAGTCACTTACCTTCATTTGTAGTAAAGTTTAGTATTGTTTACTCACTAAATAATAATGTTGGTCACTATAGAGTGAATTTTGTATCGATCATGGTGTTCC